TACGTTCTCGCATTTCACTCTAGGGTTCGGGTCTTGGCTTTAAGACTTATTGCATTTTATTTCAGGTCTAGTTTTGAGTTTTTTAAAAGTGCTATAGTATACACTGAGAAATAATAATCTACCATCCTTCTCAGTACGTTAGAGATTAGGAAAAGAGGGAGAGGGAGGTGGGAATCTTCGTTGATGAGGACATGGAGCAACACTATTTTAAAGGAAATTTCTCCTCTCAGCGTACAACTTCGGAAGGACAACGAAAATGTAATCGAATGACAACGCACCTCTGACAACGGCTTTTGATTAAAATGGGGAATTAGAAAGGCTCAGATAGGCCGGACCCAAGATCATCTGATAGAAACCTGAGTGGACAAATTAAGTAGGTTGGGCGAGTTTAGAGGGGACAGTTATAGCAGACTGGGTGGAATTCAGTGTGAAACAGATTAGCGTACCATAGTTCACGTAACGTGAATATTTTAGAAAATTTTCGGTTGAAACAGGAGAGTAAATTTTCAGGGACATTCGATATGAATTCAGATCGTCGCGGTGAGAAAAGGTGCACAGTGAACGGTTGAGGGGAGAAGATCATGAAGATTTTGTGATAAAAAGATGAAATGTTGTGATATATTTGAAACATTCATTGTCGTGAAACCCTCATAACAACTCTCTGCGAAGAGTGAGGGATGTATAAAGCTTTAACGTGTTGTTGTATTCTGACGAAAGAGCTAGATTTGTAGCTCTTTTGTTTGATGCCTTTCGGTTGGGACAGAGTATGGCGAGGTGTTTTGTTTGTGCTTGAAGTTTAAGGGTTTTGGGTGGTTTTATTTCGGGTAGCTAGTATTCTCATCAGTGGGTGGGTGCCTCGCCACTCTGACTTCGGTAGCAACATGCCGGCTCCTGCTGGCATTTGCAGGCCGAAACCAACCGGGGGGNGGGGGGTATGTTTCTGTGGGCCATTTGTTTCGCGAAACGGAGATAGGTGCCCGTCTAGCGAACAATTTGGCCTTTTTTCTCCCCGTCTGGAAATATAGATGGGTGCTGTCTGTGATGCTCGCTACTAATAAGTTTGAACTTCGCGCAATTTTGGAAGCTTATGAAAAATTGAGAGACTTGAAAAGTTCACTATGTTCATTTTTCTTGTCGAGACTTCATAATTTAAATATCTGATTTCGGTGTATCGAAATGTTAGCATCAGATTTGTGAGAAGTGAGTGAACAAGGATGAAAAAGTGGTAGAACACGAATTATTCTCATTTATCCGCTCTATCAGTTGGACTGTCTACTTATCTGTTTAACTTAAACTGCTGTAATACCGTGTTCCGTTGATAATCAGCTTTACGACTTTCATGTCCATCTCTGCATGACGTTTAAATTCGATGTTTAATACCCGAACGATTATTTCCATGGGTTAATGAACATTATGGAATGCTTCGTAGAGGCCGATTGTGATTTTTGTTGTCACCGGATGATGTCGAATCCCTTCGGGGTGAACGAGCTCATTTGTCTCCGTTTTATTGATAATCCTCAGTTGAGAATCATTAGTTGTTTTTGTTTGACGAAAAATTGACGTATCTGTGTAGATCGGAAGTGATTATTTGATTTGTCTGTTCGTCTTTGATGTTTGAGTCGTTGTTGGAAAAATTAGTTTCGAGACGTTCTGAGAGAAAAATTCAGAAGAGAGACTTGAGTGATGAGAAAGAACTGGAAAAAATACTGGTGAAGATATAAAGTGCTGGCAAATTTTTGTTACTTTTCTGATTAAACTGGAGAACGATTGATTCTTCGCATATTTTATGATGTGATATATTGAATGGCAAACATGATGTGGCGCTTCTTTCGCATAGCCACGTTGTGCACAACATTTTATCAATCACTATGTGAACAGTGGGGTAAAATCTCGTCGAATCGCTTTCGTAGAAAAAGACTGTTGGTTGGTGAACGAGCTGATGCAATATTGGAACATATATTTATGCTGCTTTCATGTTTGTATCGATGTGTTCGTTTGTCTCACTTTTATTTATTTATTCACCCTGTACATACAAATTTATTTATTCGTTTGTTTTTCTCTGTTTAGTGAAGTATCGATATGATTTGTTTGCTCATTATTTGTTTGTTGATGCATTGTTGTTTGGATTATGGATACGATTGAAGTGCCAAGTTTTGCGTCATAACTGTTGATTTGATGGCTTTGTGTGTTAAATAGATTGGAAATTCTGTGAATTCAATCTTTTTAATTTGCAAATTGTTGTTGTCTTGTTGTAGAAGAATAAGAATGGTCGTATGTGCGGCTGATAAAGCACCCGTAACGGTACTGTTGGGTGCACAATGGGGAGATGAGGGCAAGGGCAAAATCATTGATTATCTCATCGCGAAAGACAAGGTTTTTGTTTGCATATTTTTTTTGCACTGAGGTCAGCGTTGAACAAATTTTTAGATAATGTGAAAAATTATATTGGTTTATTTTTTGTTGCATAGGTATTTTTTGTTGAATTAAAGTGGAAATTGATAAGTTGAAGTTGTAACTCGTAGAATTTGCTTCAGTTAGTGCGTAACTTCAGGTTCAAGTGACAGCTAGATGCCAAGGAGGCAACAATGCCGGCCATACGGTAGTGGCCAACGGTCGCAAATACGATTTTCATCTTCTTCCGTCGGGTATAATCTCTGAAAACTGCTTCAATATAGTAGGTGAGTGTTCGGAGGATTCATATTCTTTTTCCTACTGTAAATTTTCAAATGTTTTGTTAGGGTTTGTGCTGTTCAAATATCAAAATTTGATGTGAAGAAACTTGCTAAAAACGAACGATTGATTTATTCAATTATTGTTTGTAAACATTCTTTGAGCATCCAGCCAAATCGACCTCTTCTATCAATCACAAACCTTTTTCCTGATTAATTGATACCATTTTATACCACGTCATAGCAAAGATCATCTCTCACTCGAAGGAAGTAAATTTTTTATTTGAAATATAATCCAAAGAAAATATAATATAATCATCCTTAAATTTTTCGTTTTCACATTAATTTCCCATTCCTTTTTGCAATTTGCTTTCGAGTTGCAGGTAATGGCGTCGTAGTGAATTTGGATTCGTTCTTCTCCGAGCTGGAACATAACAAAATTTTGGAGTTGCCCGGGTGGGAGAAACGAATTATGATCAGTGAACATGCGCACATTGTGTTCGGTGTACACGCTCAGGTGGACGGTAGGCAGGAAGATGCGCGAGAGAAGTTAGTCTTTGATAGACATTCAACGATTTCGATTCACAAATGTAACGAATTCCTTTCTGTCAGAATAACATAGTTCCGAATGAACTAACAATCAGGAGAAAAGTGCGCTCTATCCTGAATGCATTCATCATTATCATTATGCTTATTGAAGAAAGCATGCAAGGTGAATGTATTTGAATATACGAAAGTTTACTTGAATAGTGTTGTGCCTGGTTTATTGTTAGATGTCGTAATCGGTGAGGATCTCAATATTTGTTAACAATAGGAACAATTTGCCAGCAAAATTTTTTATGGTGAAGGTTGTTTTCGGCATTGTTCGAGAAATTAACATAAGTAGCCGACAGTTTTATTCACGTTTGCTTTTGCAGTAAAATTGGTACGACAAATCGTGGAATAGGTCCGACGTATTCGAGTAAATGTTTCCGAAATGGTATTCGAATCGGTGATCTCTTGGGAGATTTCGAGAAATTTGCTTCGAAGTGAGTTTTCTTTTCCTTCAAAATTTGCTTTATTTTGAGTTGGTGCAGTAGTTTGGCTATATTGCTGATGTTCTTTTGACATTCTCGACAGTGCTACTATTTGCCATGAAAATGTTCTATTTTGACTTCTCGTAAGACCAATGTTTGGATTGCGAGAAAAGTTGTCTTGGTAACGTTATGAATGAGAATTGAAGCAAAAAACTGTTCGAATGGTGTGTCGAGGAATTTTTCTGCTGCTATTATGAAGCATGAAATCATTTTTTGTTGATGAGAATTTGAATGAAACGCTTGAAATATTTCTTCGCTGATATAACGGATTGTGCGCATGACCATCGCAAGCGATGAGTATTTGCAATGAAACTGAAAAACAAAACTGAAAGAATATGCCACTCTGATATTGGAAGTAAAACCAATATTGGTGTGTGCACTGTTTTTGTTTTTTGGATGATAAAAGAATTTTTTTGAAGATATCGCCAGTTGGTGGAATATTATCGCAAACAATTTCCATCGATCAACATTGATATGGATACTGAGTTGGGTGCATTCAAGGTGGATAATTTCGAATTTTTGTTTTCTAACTGAACTAATTTGGACATAATTTGCCGAAAATAATACCGA